TGGACGATGGTCCTTTTCACGTGACTATTTTTTGGAAGGAGGTTGGAGGCCATCGCCAGTAGGTTGGAGGCTATTGCTTTAAAGTTTCACTCTGAGTCGCCCATGCCGCATGCTTGAATAACCAAGTCTCAAGCTGCTCAGCCCAGTTCCACCAAGAGCCAAATCAGCATCGCTGAACGGTTGTGCTGAGAAGTGAGGGAGAAACATTTGCAAATTGCTATAGCCACTTCAAGACTAAAGAAGTGGAGAAGTTTTTCCTTTTCCTTGTCCTCTTCCTCTTCCTTCCTTCGGCTTTTTGGTGAATTACATTTTGAAGGGTTCCTTTGTGGGTGCAGCTCTCTTTGGGGCGCTTCTATTTTTGCTGTCATGGCCCCAGCATGCAACTTGACTTTGAGGTCCAATGCTTAGAGGATGAGGAGCTGGTGGGACACCCAGCCAGTGCTTTGGGTAGCGACACTTGAAGCAATCTTCTCTTTTGCAACAAATGTAGAAAGTCGGGACTGCCCTCCAAACATGTGCTTTGTATTTGTCAGTCAAGTGCAGTTCCCACCACCACCGTCTAAGCAAGTTGCCTTCGACGAGTTTTGCGCCGATGAGAAGCATATGTTTTGTAGTTCCGTAAAGAAAAAGACCCCTTTTAGGTTGGAGGCCATGGCGCCATGGCTATGAGAGAGTTCTCTGAGGATTGGCGTTGCTGTCCCTTTGTTTGAGCACTGAGGCCCCGGTGCTTTCAGACCACCTGGGCTTGCCACCTGAGGCAAAGACGAACCGAGCACATGGTCGAGCAAGAAAGTGGTCTTGGTGGTTGAAGTGGTCGTTTGTCGTTTGTTTCCTTTTATCTTTGGACATAATCCTTTTATCTTTTTTGCTTTGGTTTTGTTGTTTTTCCATTGGAAGCTCTAAACCAAAACCGTTGGAGGCAACCACGTGCCGCAGCATCGGCGAAGCGTTCCTCGGCGAACCCTGGGAACGGAGACGAGCGATAAGAGGAGCCGGGTGTTTGGTCTCGTATGAACCGGTGGGCACCTCGAAAGCAACTAGTAACAAGAAGCTACTAGGGGCTCCTGGCCGTACTACTAGGAGCAAGGACGCTACTAGGGGCTCCTGGCATCGCTACTGGGAGCAAGGACGCTGCTAGGGGCTCCTGGCCTTATTGCTAGGAGCAAGAAGCTACTAGCCTAACCTACTAGCGATGGCCTCCAACCCAAGAGCGATGGCCTCCGACCTACTCTATGAATGTATCTTATCGTGGATTTGGACCCTGGTGCATGTTCAGCAAATCTAGGCATCAGAATCACTCCAATGATGTGTCGCTTGGACATACCAGTCTGCCAGTGGCGTGGTTGAGTTCCTTTACTCTAGAGACACCTCTAAACAGTATGTTTATCCGCCTCCCAGTCAACACATGAGCTGATGAAACTGCACAGTTTGAGTACGTCTTAGGCAAAAGACATAGACAGAGACGCGCATGCTTCCTTCAAGATCAGGGCTCGTAATATGGGACGACTACAATGTGTAAGGTCACTCATGGAAAACACGATGATGTCTTTGACGATCGTGAAGCTCTTCTTGGTAAAATTATTGGAAGGAGTGAAGTGCGGCGTAGCATGGTCGATGGCCTCCCACATCGTAATCATCAGGATGTGTTGAAAGAGGTGCCAGCAGTTGGTGGGATCGTCCATGTGCGAAGGTGAAGTCGCTCACCCGTGGTCCAATGCTCAAGTGAAACGCCTTAGGGGAAGAAAGACCACATGGAGCTAGCCGCCATGCATCGCAAGGATTTGGGGGAATTCCAAGCAGATGTTCATAGCCCGAGAAGTGCAGACCACCGACCTTAAGCTTGAAAGACCAGAAGCAAGCAATCTTTTTTCAATGGCCTCCCCAACAACCCAAGTCCAAAGCAAAACAAGCCTCAAACAAGGACTACTAGGGGCTCCTGGCCTCGCTACGAACGGAGCAAGAGGACGCTACGAACGGGGCATCACTGATTCGACGGTGGCCATTTCTGTGCGGTTCCCACGGAACGATGCCGCGGCCACCGTCACGCGAAGCGGGCGAGGAGACGGGATGGTGGGAACCGGAACGGGAAGACGTGACCGAAGAGCGGAAGCAAACGATGTATTCTCAAACGAATGTTCCAGAAATTTCGAGATCCGTTTCACACTACTTTGATATTTAGCAGTGTTGCAGACAAAAATGCGCAATGCAGAGTTCAGTGGTTTTTGGTTTTGATCAAGCATAGAGACATGTTGCACTTCCGGAATGTGGCATGTGTTCCATTTTGTTCGGCTGATCCTCACAGGAGCAGGGATGGGAAAGCCCCTTGGGAAACCTCTCCGAGGAGCCGTGGCCGACCGAATCGCACTGAGTGGGACGTGATGGAAAGACGGAAGGGTTGATTCTCAAGGTGTTACTAGTAGCGTGGCACTTGTTACTACTAGCTTCTTGTTACTACTAGTAAGGCACTTGTTACTACTAGCTTCTTGTTACTACTAGTAAGGCACTTGTTACTACTAGCTTCTTGTTACTACTAGTAAGGCACTTGTTACTACTAGCTTCTTGTTACTACTA